ATTACTTCCTTTGGAGATAATTTGAAGCAAAATTAACTTATGATATTGATTTCAATGCATATTTTTAAAGGAACTAGAATTATAAAAATATGTTTTTGAAAAGAATAAACATGTAACACTGCCAGAAACTAAGACAGCATGCTATCAGTGGACCACAGTCTTTCAGGAATATCTAGGGGGTGGAAGGTAATTTGCATTTATTTAGAAAATGAAGCAAATTTATTGTTTTTTTTTTAAGGCCAAGATATTAACTGATGTAGAATTAAGAGCAGTTCTCGTTAGAAACCTGGAGTGACTTCAAGATCAATTAGGAAGAACTTTAAATGCATATTGCTAAGTGAAAGAAGCCAGTCTGAAAAGGCTACATCCTGTGTAATTCCTATTATATGATGTTCTGGGAAAGGAACACTATATACAGAGATCAGTAGTTGACAGGGGTTGGAGAAAAGATAAAAAGGATGAATGGGGGAGCATGGGGCTTTTAGGGCAGTGAAGCTATTCTATGTGATACTGTAGTTGTGGATAAATGACATTCATTTGTTAAAACCCATAGAATGTACAAAACCAAGACTGAACCCTAAAATAAACTATGGACTTGGGCTTACTTTGGCAGCACATATAATAATATATTATAAAAATAATAAACTAAGGACTTCAGTTAATAGTAATGTATCAGTATTGGTTATCAACTCTAAAAATGTACCATAATGGATGGGGCGCCTGGGTGGCTCAGTCATTAAGCATCTGCCTTCGGCTCAGGTCATGATCTCAGGGTCCTGGGATCAAACCCCACATTGGGCTCCCTGCTTAGCCGGGAGCCAGCTTCTCCCTCTTCCACTCCCCCTGCTGGTATTCCCTCTCTCGCTGTGTCTCTCTTTGTCAAATAAATAAAAAAAAAAAAATCTTAAAAATGTATCAGTGCAAACAATGAATCATGGAACACTACATCAAAAACTAATGATGTAATGTATGGTGATTAAACATAACATAATAATAAAAAAAGACACTGCATAATTAACTGAAAAAAAAAAAAGTACCGTAATGGTAACAGAAGGTGAAACTCTGTATGTGCACGTGCACGTGCATGTCTGTGCGTGGTGTGTGTGTGTGTGTGTGTGTGTGTTGGAAGGAGGTATGTGGGAATTCTTTGTATTTTCTGTACAATTTTTCTGTAAATATAAAATTCATTTAAAAAAGTCTTTAATATTATTAAATATGACAGTAGCAAACACATTCCAGGTACTGTTCTGAATGCTTTATAGATATTAACTCTTTTAATCCTCTCAACTGTGAGTTATGTACTTTCATATCCCCACCTTACAAATGAGGAAAGGGAGACTCCAGCAGTGGCAGATCCCAAACAGGCTCTGGAGTCTTGCTCTTATGCACCGCCCTACTATCAGTTATTAAAAGATAACTGAGGGTTCTAGAGGGGAGGGGGGTGGGGGATGGGTTAGCCTGGTGATGGGTATTGAGGGCACCTTCTGTATGGAGCACTGGGTGTTATACGCAAACAATGAATCAGGGAACACTGCATCAAAAACTAATGAGGTAATGTATGGTGATTAACATAACATAATAAAAAAATAGTAAGTTGGAGGAATAAGGCAGCAGTAATCACAATATTGTAAGTAAGCTAAAAGCACTGCTGTTTTGTTGTCATTATTACTAATAGCAACTCATGGTCTGTTAATTTTTGTGCTAGCTTTTACTGGGGTTTTTTTTGAAACATTGCTTTATATTTATTTATCAGTTTACTTTTTCTCTTCTGAGACTGGAAGCCCCTAGAAAGGAGTTTGAGAGACTGCGTGTTTGGTTCTTTGTAGAATAATTCCTCTGGAGCCAAAAGTAGTTGTACATTGGGCACCTATTATATTCACCTGCTAATTTTAGTAACAATGCCTTAACATTTACTTCCCTGTAGATCCTACCTGAATTTGTCTTTTTTCTTTTAACCTACATCATAATCATCAGCAGTTAACATTTATTATTTGCTAGGACATTTTGAAGTCCTTTAAGTCACTTAAGAATGTGGTAGTGAAAAAGAGTGCTGCTCCAGATCCATAGGGGCTGGATTGAAATCCCAGCTTCACCACTAGCAGTTTTTCTCATTTTCTGAGTGAGCTCTCTGTTTCTCAGTTTTCTTTATTCTGGAAAATGATGATAGTAACAGTGTCTACTTCATAGGGGTTTTGTGTTGAGGAAATTAGCTAATGTGTACAACTTTAATTGTCTTATTTTAAGTCCCAATTTTTTATTTCTTGGGGAACACAAGATAAATGTTTAGTTCCATGACAAATGTACTGTGTAAGAGGCATGTCATTTTGGTTTGTAAATAGGTATTTCTTTTATAATCTATTTTCTCTTAACATCTATTTGTTTTTAGATCTAATCACGAAAACTACACAGGAAAATTAGGATCACTCTCATGCAGACATTTGTTTGTTTATCTCATCTCCTCTTAATATTTTTCAGAATGAATACCCTCCATCTTTTTTATTAAAGATTTTAGTTATTTATTTGAGAGAGAGTACTTGAGAGAGAGAGATTACCACCAAAGGTGTGTAGGTAGAGGGAGAAACAGACTCCCCGCTGAGCAAGGAGCACGATGTGGGACTCCATCCCAGGACCCTGGGATCATGACCTTAGCCGAAGGCAGACGCTTAGCCAACTGAGCCACCCAGGTGCCCATCTTTTAACAGTACTTCCAAGGAGGTGGTTTCAGAAGTCATGCTGCCATGGCCCTCAGTGTTTCTGTGGATAACTCTAGTTTGTCTGTGTTCCTCAAAGTAACTACAAATGTGTTGTGATATTTATACAGTGAGAGGCACATAAACCCACCCTATCCTGTGTTTGAAGTTAGATTTGCTTAATAAGTAACCACATCATATACTGAGCTTAGTTAAGTCAGTTAAAATCCCTAACTCTTCTTTACATAAATTGCTTTAGCTAAATTTTATTCATCTCTTCGATTAGGAATTTATATGTATCCCTGTTAAATTTAATCTTGATTTCAGCCCAGCCACCTATTGAGACTTTTTTAATCTTGACTCTGTCAACTGGTTTAGTGTAGTTTACATTTCTACATTATTTGCTAATGGCATACCTTGTTCCAGAAAGGATTTTCATTCTTAACTAACCAGCTCTCTTTTCTGTCCCCTTTCCCACATTTCTGATAACCATTTCTGGGGTCTTCATCTATGACAATTGAAATACTGAGGAGATGAAGATGGGTTCATAGACACACCTATGAAAAACCTCTTTCTAGGTTGGCGGTGATCCATTAATGAGTAATTAATTTTTAAAATGTAATTGTCCAACTAAGGGGAATTTAAATAAAAACTTGAAAAAAAAGTAACTATCCATCCAACAGCAAATTTTCTGTTATACAACCCTACATCTCTGCAATTTGGAGAAAAACCCAGTAGAATTCTGTCCTTGAGGTAATTTGTTGTCTTCTTATTTAACCATATTGATTAACGGATGTGCGCAGTTTTCTGAATTAATAAAAACTCTTAAACCTATTTAACTCCTTAAAACATAGTGAATTCTACAGGTTTTTATATATGTTATTTCTATGGTAAGGGCTGCTTCACTTAGCTTAAATAATAGATGAATAGTTGCAACCTCATTTTCTATTTTCAAACTTACATCAAGTTTATTTTCAAAATATTGTGTTTTTAAATAACAAAGATTTTATTTCTTTGATGTGTATTTTATTGAAATCTAGTTACTTTTGTTGTATATGTAGAGACAAAGTACTTCATAGAAATAAAATTCTGCACAAATATTTGGGTCACAATTTAAAATGCTTTAAGAGGTTCTAAAAATTATCATTTAATGCCATGGGTTTCTTCAAGGTTAATTAGTTCAAATCTCAAGGCACAGTCCTGAGAGTCTAATGCAAGCAGAATAAGTTGGCACTATGAAGTAAAATTTAGGTAAGTCAGAATCTAGGTCCATAGATGTTTTTATCTGGGATGCCCAATTCGGTACTAATTATTTACTTACGCCTTTCACTTTGCAAATATCTTAGAAGTTTAGGAGAAGATATTCATATATCAATAATGAGTGAAAATTATGGATTTTGTGGTCTTTCCGGCAGATTTTTCTTTATTATTGTTCAGATCATAGCCACAAGCTTTCTGTTGGTGAGAGACATTTACTTCATATCCTCTCTGTATTAAACTTTGTTTATGTTATATGGGATTTCACAGAATGCATGTTATCTAGTGGATTACCTCATGTCATCCTTGCAACATCCTCACAGTTGGGGAAACTGTGAGGCTAAGTTACAGGAGTTCTTTTACCAGACCCTATGCTGCTAACATCTAAGCTGCCTCTTTCCTAAGTACCTGTTTCTTAAGTATTCTTTTTGGGAGCGGGCAAGGGACTCATCCTATTTTCCAGCTACTAGGCTGATTCCAGAATTACTGCAAGTCTTTTTGCCTTGTCTACTCCCTGATGTATGTTAGGCTTTGGCCGTTTCTTGGCCTTGAGGTCCACAAAGGGACAAAGTATAGAGAATGCATGCATGGTATGAGGATGAAGTATGATATCCTGTTACCCTCACTTTTCCCCATCTGCTCACGCCCACAGAAGGCTCCATAACCTTGTGACAATCACTTTATTTGCTGTGGTTGGGAGTGGGATAGATGGGAAATCTATAATCCTGGGACTAGCATACCTGATACTTAACTAGTACTGGTTAAATAGAGATATGGGTATGCTTCAATATGTTTGGGTGTGTTTTAGCATTTAGCGTTATATAAAAATACTAAAAAGAATAACTAAGACTTCTGGATTTTTCATGTATGTTTTGAGTTTCTTCTCACATTGCAAGGTAGCCTTTCTGTCACTTTGAATATGTCACAGAAACAGATATCATGTGCTTCTCCTCAATATTTTTATTCATTTTAACAAAATACAAAGGCACTCTTTCTCAAGGAAACCAATCTCATACTGACCTAGGAAAAATTATTTTTGCTTCTGTTTTGCAGACTTTGAATAATGAGATGAGTACAGATGATGACAATGAATATGCAGAAGAAAAGGAAAGTTACATCTGTGCAGTGTGTCTGGATGTTTATTTCAACCCATACATGTGTTACCCTTGCCACCATATCTTCTGTGAGCCCTGCTTACGGACTCTTGCCAAAGACAATCCTGCAAGCACTCCCTGCCCATTGTGTCGGACAATTATTTCCAGAGTCTTTTTCCAGACAGGTAACTCTTCTCTTTCATTAATATAATTGCTTGATTATTCTGACTACTGCTTTGTTCCAGTTCTAAAAGTACTTTATAAATTATTATGAGAAATTATAAATTATTATGAGAACATTATTGCAAATCATATGCAGGATAATTTATTACTCTCCACTTTATAAAATGATCCTTCCCCAATTCAGAGAACTGTGTTGAAAATCATAGAATCCTAGATGAAGAGAGGGTCTCATGTCTAAACCCTACTTTGTGCTGACATCTTTTCTAAGATATTCTAAGCACTCTTGACTTGGACATCTCCAGTGTCGAAGATATTCCATTAAAATTTGAACAGCCCTGTTGATTATTTATTCCTCATATCTGCCTTTTATTGCTACTTGTTCTTTGGCCATTGTTATCTCCTCTGGAATCTTAGAGAATAAATCTGTAAATATCTGACGAAAACTTGTATGCCTTTCCTCCACACTCCACATCTTCTCAACATCCTTACGGTTCTTAAGGTCTCTTTTCTTGAATGAAAAGTAAAATTGGGGCAAGGATCTGTGTACCTGAGTATCAGTAAAGATGGAATATAACATAGTGTTTACTCTTTTCTTTTTTTTTATTTAAATTCAATTAGCCAACTTACAGTATACCATTAGTTTCAGATGTAGTGTTCAATAATTCATTGGTTTTGTATAACACCCAGGGCTCATTACATCACGTGCCTTCCTTAATGTCCATCACCCAATTAACATAGTATTTAAAACACATTATGGAGAGAAGAAAAACTAATGAATGTGGAACATAGAGAATTGCTAAGGAAAAGAGAAGAATGATAGAAGTAAGCAGAGCTAATACTTATTGAGTACACTACAGTGTGCCAAATGTTAGGGAGGAAAATGCTATCTCCACATTCTGGAGGTGAGTGTGGTTGGGCAGATACATAAACCATATGACTGTGCATAGTAACTATAATTAGATGAAGTATTTGGTTTTAAACATTCTGCTGCTTAAGGAAAAATAAAAGTAAGTATACAATTAAATGATTCTCGTGATTCATTAAAAGAAACATCCCACTTCCTAAGAATAAGCGAACATTTTTCTGGCACTTGAAAAGGAATTTTTTATGTGATTTCTCTTCTAGGGCATACTGAGAAACAGAGTAGGCAGTGTCCTCAAAAACATTCTCAGAGCAAATGCAGTATCAGGTTTCCTGACACTGTGCCTTTTGGTATTCTCTGATAAAAGTTGAGGAATTTGGGAAAGTGACATTGCTAGTAGCCAAAACATTATGGTCTAGTTTTCTTACAGAAATAACTTTAAACTATATAGGTAATACAGTTTCATTAGAGAAAAATCAGAACATCCAGATAAAACTGTAAACTCAAAATCCTCTGTAGTCCTAACATCTAAAGACCACCTTGAGTGAGTATCCTTCCAGAATGATTTATATCTGTGTGCCTAATTATTTTTCTTACAGAAAAAAAATGTGATTACATTGTATATAATGCTTTTAACCTGCTTGGCTTTACTTAAAAACGCTTGTCAATGTATATCATGATCTACTTAAGCTATCCGCTATATGGGACATTTTATTTATTTATTTGTTACTATTTGCTGACATATGAGGATAAATATTTGCACACATCCTTGAGTATTTTTTTGCAAGGGATTTCCAGAGGTAGAACTGGTAGTTAAAGCCATGTGTGTTTTAAAGCTATGTATATGTTGCAAAATTATACTCCAAAGTTATTGTAAGCAGGGCTTACAGTACAAGGGCTTATTTTCTCTACACTCTGGGCATTTTCGTTTTGTTTTGTTTTGTTTCTTTTTAAATCTCTGACCCTGAACTTTGCTGATTTTTCTTATGGTTTGTTCATCTTTTTCTTGTTTATTAACAAGAAGATCTTTTAGGGGTGCCTGGGTGGCTCAGTGGGTTAAGCGTCTGCCTTCAGCTCAGATCATGATCTCAAGGTCCTGGGATCGAGCCCCGCATCGGGCTCTCTGCTCAGCCGGGAGTCTGCTTCTCCCTCTCACTCTCTCTCTGTGCCCTTTCTCTCTCTCTTGCTATCTCTCTCTCAAGTAAATAAATAAAAACCCTTAAAAAAAAGATTTTTAAAAAAATTAGTGTCAGCTTTTGTCATAGGTGGTAAATCATTTTCCTGTTTGTCATTTGTACTTTAGTTATGTTATTGTGTTTCATGAATGTGCAGAACTTTTATATTTCTATGTATCTCATGTAGCAACCTTGGTATTTATTATTTCTAATTTCAAAGTTAGGTGTTAAAAGGCCTTATCCACTAAAGAATAATATAAACATTATCTTTACCTACATTTATTTTAGGTTTCCAGTTTGTCCTCATATCCCCACATTTAACTCCATCTAACATCTTGTATGGTGCCTGGTTTGATTAAGAGTGGAGTGCTTTTTTTCATGTTTGTAGACATTTATCCCGGTAACATTTGTTGAACAGGCCATTTTTCCTATTCTAATTGAATTGACATTCTTTAAAAAGTAATAGTAACAATTACTAAAATGTACAATACACTAAATACACTAAAGTGTATTTCTTGGCAGCTCTTCTTTTCCATTCATATTTCTATCTTGTCATATACCATTACTTTACTCTTTTTTTAATATTTTATTTATTTTAGAGAGAGTGCAAGTGGGGAAAGGGGCAGAGGGAGAGAGAGAATCTCAACCAGAGTTCAAGCTGAGCATGGAGCTCTTAGTGGGGGAGGCTCCATCTCACAACTCTGAGATAACGACCTGAGCCGAAACCAAGAGTTGGACACTTAACTGACTGAGCCACCCAGGCACTTCCCCCATTACTTTACTCTTAAAACTTTTATATCGTGTATGTTTTAATAACTCAAAAGTAAATTAAAATTATAAGTTATGTGGGGATAATTTATATTTTTAATTGACATTGATATAATACTGAGTGATTGTTATTATGGTATATCACCTCTCAATACATTTCTGCAATTTCCTTCCTAAAGTCTCTGCACATTTCTTACTAGCTTTCTGCCTGTGTATTTTTGTTGTTGCTATTGTAAATGAGATTTGTTTTTCCTTTTCGGATTTCAAATGCTTTTGGTGATTCTTTGGAGAAGTTAGTTTACAGTCTTAGAGTATTCTCTTAATCTTACTGAACCCTGACATTTATTAAGTCAATGAATCATCTCAGTTACTTAATGTCACCATTCAGATTGTGGACAAACCAGGGGATAGTTGTCAAAGGTCAGAGTGGGAAAGCTATCATTTCCTAAAGGAACTCAAGATCTTTGGCGACTGAGTAAGGGGTTAGTTGTAACATAATTCTGTTATAGTAGCTCATTGGATAGAGATAATAATTAGATTCCCCCCAGATTTATTCCAGAGACTGCACTTCATCAAAATGATTTTAAACTGGAACTATAACATTCACTAGATAGGCAATTTTGCTTAAGTTACTTAACACTATTAGATGTGATCTTGATAAAATACTTAACATGTTAAAAGTTGGGAAGAGGAAGTGGGAAGGATATGTAGAAGGAATTGATATCTGTTTTTTTTTTAAATGTAAATCAAGATATACTGTTGATGGAGCACCTGTGTGGCTCAACTGGTTAAGCTTCTGCCTTCAGCTCAAGTCATGATCCCAGGGTGCTGGGATCGAGCCCTGCATTGGGCTCCCTGTTTGGCGGGGAGCCTGCTTCTCCCTCTGCCTCTTCCCCTGGCTTGTGCTTACTCGCTCTCTCTCTCAAATAAATAAATAAAATCTTTTAAAAATAAAAGATATACTGCTGAAAGTTGATAGAAAAAAGTTGTAGTAGACACTATTGGTTGCTAATTAGTATCCATTACATCCTTCTTCTTTTCTAATATAACTCTGAGTTTTATTCAACGATTGAACTACCCCAACATAGACCAGGTGGCTCCTGGGTAGCGGACCCCATCCTTGGCTCCTTGGTAATCTATCCCCTTTGCCAGTGATTGGTTCACAAATCAGCATGTAGTCCAGTTCTGACCAATGAGATGAGAAGAAAGTTTGTCTTTACTCTTAAGAGATGAGATGGAAAAGCCATTCTCTTTTGCATTGGACATAAACAACAAAGTGTGTAACAGGGATAGTTATTGGCAACCATCTTATGAGTAAGCGGGGAACCAGCTTGGTATGAAGCCTTTATTTTGGATGGCAGAATTGAGGAAAGAAAAGAACATGGGGTCTTGATACCATTATCTAACCACTGAGTTAGTCATCTTTGAAGCCCACCTTACCTTTGGATTTCCTGTTCCATTAAATATTAATTTTACTAATTAACTAATACAGTTGAGGAAATTTTTTGTTAATTTCAACCAAGAGCATCCTAACCAATAAAAGCATACTAATAAATATAGTTAACAAAGAAACTAAAAATGATTATATGATACAAAATCTTGAGATGTTAAAAGGAAAGAAGATAGTATAAAAAGACCTAACTTCTCTTAGAAGGAAGTCAATAATATTTAAAGATAATAAATAGTAAAGAGGTTTCTGGAATGGTGGTATGACAGGCTCAGTCTTCATCCCAGCAAAACAACCATTTAACTGATGAAAATGGTTTTTTTAATTGAAACCTCTGGAAATTGTTCTAAAGATACAGAAAATAGAGAAGCACTTATTTTTTTAATCTAATTATATACCACTATTCTCGGTAAGAACATAAAAACCCTGTAGCGTTTGGATATCCACACACAAAGGTGACTTTGGAGCCCTACCTTACACTATTTATACACCACCACTACCTTACACTATTTACACATACACACACGCACACACATACACACACACTAATTAAAATGGAACAAAGACCTAAATGTAAGAGCTAAAATTGTAAAACTCTCGGATGAAAACATAGGTGTAAAATTTTTTGAAATTGGACTGGGCAATTATTTCTTAAATGTGACAACTAAAGCACAAACAACCAAGGAAAAAAACAGAGATTTTATCAAAGTTAAAAACTTGTGTGCTTCAAAGGATATTATCAACAAAGGATATTACCAACTTTCACAGAGTGAAAGAAAATATTTATAAGATACATATGTGACAAGGACCTAGTATCCAAAGTATAGGAAGAATTCTTACAACTCAACAATAAAAAGACAACCCAATTTCAAAATGGGCAAAGAGTTTGAATAGAAACTTCTCCAGGGAAGATAAAAAAAAAAAAAAATGGTCAATATGCTCATAGAAAAATGCTCAACATCATTAGTTATTAGTTGCAAATTAAAACTCTGGTATCACTTCACACTCACTAATATGGCTACGATCACAATGATAATAACAAGTGTTAACAAGAATCTGGAGAAATTGGGACTCATGTATATTTTTTGTTAAAATATAAAATGGTGAAGTCACTTTGGGAAAAAGGAGGATAAGTTTGTACAAGGGAGAGTCTAAGCTTGCTTGTGAGATTGGGGAAGGTTCTGGTGTGTCCCAAGTTAATTAGAGTGCTTTTTTCTTTGAAGATGAGAAGGACACCAATGTAGGCAGGTCTGAGGAGGAAGACCTCTAGATAGGTGAGACCCTTCCCATTCATTGACTGACAACCTCACCACATCCTTTCTGACCCAGAGTCCCCCCATCAGTACCCCAACACTAAGTCTATTCAAGGAGGTGCTATATGCTTCATAACAGGATCTGCAGGCCACCTAAAATCAGCACACCAAGGAAAGGAAAAGGCCATGGTTTACAAGCATTATGTGGAGAGGGGGTCGTCGAGGTGACAGAGGAGGAATACCTCAGACAAGAACATCATGGTTTTGTTGTGAGGGAACATACCGTATTTTCTTGAATTGACTTTATGGCTGCAGCCTTCAAACCATGCATGTGACTTCCCCTCTTGTGGACTGACGCTGAAGGATCCTCCTGTAGGCAGTCCTACTATGGACCCAGTATCCATTGTTCAGAGATCCTAACCCATGGTTATATAGTAAATGAGAGTGTCTCGGGTATTGCAAAGGGAGCCACAGGGTCAGTATAACCTACTCCCCAATTGCAAAATCACTCAGTGCCATCCCTCCTCCCCACTCAGATGCACCATACCTCAGCAAGAAGGTATCCCACTCTTGTTCCACCATTTGCATCCATTCAATCTCCGTCTCCCTTTTGATACCCCTGCCCCTCTACCTACTAATCTTGTGCCTTTACTTAGCAGAACATGCTGATGAGCAGATATACTAGTAAACTCTATTGGAAAAAAGAAAAGGAGATTTTACCTTGCATATAGAAGTCCCTAACTAAATAAGGCAATGACATTTAAGCTAATCTAGGACGTTAAGCATGAGGAGGCCTATGCTTTTTCACCAGGAATATTTTAGCTGTCTCAATAATTGGGGGATGATACTGGCATCTAATCAGTGGGGGCAGTGATGACAGATATCCTAGAGTGTTTGGGCCAGTCCTACACAGTGAAGAATTTCTCTGTGTTCTGTCTGACATTCTCATGTCCTGCTGGGCTTTATCCAGGACATTCAGCTCATCCAAAAGAATATCACACTTCTCTTTTTATCTACTGTGACAGTCTATAATTGGTCTTGGTCTATTATCCCTATTCCCATTAAGAGCATTTCACACTTCCTCTTATTCTTTACCAGTAAAAGTCTGGTCTGTGAATTCTTATGCTAGTAGTGGTTTTGTTCTTGTGTCCATCCATGTCTCCACTCTTTTATTTTTTGTCTGTCTTGTACAGAATAGTCAGCCTGAAATCCAGATTCATTCTTTTTATAGGTAAGATTATCTGACTATGTCATGATGTTTTCTGGTGCAGTCATTCTCAAGCTTTAATATGTGGAAATAAATATTTTTATTATAAAAAAGAAATATCAGAGTAAGCATATTTAGAGCAGTGTTTTTCAAACTCAATGAAAACACACAAACTCTTAAAATCTTCAGGGCTTCAAGGGCAATGCTTACTTTGCACCTGTGTAAGAGGGGCAAAAAAATGCCATTTGCAAGGGATCTTAACTCTGCTGGTAAAATTCATTTTGTACCCATGTGGTACCACCTTTACAATTTTTACTGTATCCATGTACCACCTGAATTATTTTTTTCTTAAGAATTTTCTTCATATCGGGGCGCCTGGATGGCTCAGTTGTTAAGCGTCGGCCTTCAGCTCAGGTCATGATCCCAGAGTTCTGGGATCAAGCCCCACATCGGGCTCCCTGCTTGGCGGGAAGCCTGCTTCTCCCTCTCCCACTCCCCCTGCTTGTGTTCCCTCTCTCGCTGTCTCTCTCTCTCTCTCTGTCAAATAAATAAATAAAATCTTAAAAAAATTTTTTTTCTTCATATCAACACTTTTTCCTTAAATACTAATGTCAGCCTCATCCTTAGCAATATATTTGTGAATTTATGTTTGATCTAGTTTATACATTTCTACTACTACACATTAAATAGGTAACTTTGACATTTTTAAATATTTTCGTTCAGTATCACCCAAAATCATTTCACATATTGCTAGTGCTTTGCAAACCAAGTCTTAAAAATGACTGACTTTTAGTTAAGGAGGTTAATCTCCAGGGGAAAAAAAAAAAACAAAACTGATAACAGGAACACTTAAACAGCCCCTGGGGATTGGAAGTGGAGGTAGAAATAAGGAGTGGAACAGATCATTGTTGTTTCGTTTTTTGTTTTATTTTGTTTTGTTTTTGCCCTTTTATACCATTGGATTTTTTAAACCATAGGTGTGTGTGACTTCGACAGTTTTTAAAAGTGATAAACCAGGCTGCAGCACTGAGTGTGATGCAATGGGCCAGGAAGATAGAACCCAATTTCTTTTCACACAGAAGACAGAATTATGGATTCTTTGAAGCCAGGGATGGATGCTGTGATAACCTTTTGAGGATAGAGTAATATATCCATTGTCCACAGGATTTCAAAAGCCTTTTTCTGAATCTTGAAATGTAACTTTGCATACAAAATAATAACAGTATGCATCATCACAGTATAAAGTACTTAACATTTTGTCTTTATCATAGTAAGGGCTCAGTAATGTGATGGTTAAACTGGGCTTAATTTACTAGATCTCCTCTTAGCCCTTATTATTCCTCTAGCAGAAAGTAAACTATTCTTGGGTGATGAGCCAGTGATTAAAATGGTTCTTGGTGCTCCAGAGTCATTAAAGAACCTCAATAAGTACAAAGCAAACACAGCTGCTTGAGGTGAAAGCTTGGATAAATGCTCTAACCTGAAAAAGTCTTAAACTACTTCCAGATTTCTTCTGGAATTGAAGAGTTAAAAAATGATAACTCACTATTCTGGTACAAAAATTATATTATGAGTATAAAGTATTGTAGTAGCCTAAATGGTAAATGGAATTATCAGATTAAAGTGGATAAATCTTTAACTATGGCTTACCTAGCTAATAGGAACTCCTAAATACTAACATCAGCATAAATTATACAATTATAATGATTCAGATGCTGTAAAATCCATAACTTAATTTTGAAACTGTCAAATATAAAATTTTTGGTTTGGCTTTGTCTCTGTTATATCTGCCTTTGTCATCAGGCTGCATATTTAGCTGGAAAACGGGACTTCCTAAACCAGACTTTAGCTTTGAACGATTTACTAGTAAAGAATGTGAAAATGAGGTTTAAATTTATTTTCATAGGATATACAGATAAATAGTCATCAGTACTGAGTGGGATATTCCTGACTGGCCTCTCTTTTCCCAGCATGAAGAGCTCTTCTGAACCCCACATTCTACAGGGCATCTACTTACTAGGAGAACTTGCAGCCACCTCAGGGTGAGAACCTGCTAGGTCTGAAGAGTTGGTTTTAAGACTTACATTATGGCCTTAAGGAGGGCACTTGATATAATGAGCACTGAGTGATATATGCAACTGATGAATAACTAAATACTACCCCTGAAACTAATATAGTATATGTTAACTAAATTGAATTTAAATAATTTTCTAAAAAGACTCATATTACTGGTATTTCTGGGATTCAAACTAGCCATATTCTATTGAATGCAGGCTGTAATAGCAGATATAACTTTTTCCCTAACTTGTGTTGTTCTTAAAGGTGAGCATTTCTTCCCATGTCCTCATGCTTTCTGTGGGTTTCTGATACTTTCTAGAATTTAAAGTGAAGGGACACCTGGGTGGCTCAGTCGGTTAAGCGTCTGCCTTCAGCTCAGGTCATGATCCCAGGGTCCTGAGATCGAGTCCCGCATCAGGCTCTCTGCTCAGCAGGGAGCCTGCTGCTCCCCCCTGCTCATGCTCGTGCTCTCTCTCTCTCTCTCTCTCTCTCTCTCTCTCTCTCTCTCTCTCTGACAAATAAATAAATAAATCTTAAAAAAATAGAATTTAAAGTGAATATCATCATACCTTTTCACTGACTGGTCTGTGTTTACTTCAAATGAATATTTTCTTTTTTGCTCATAAGCAAGTCTCTGAAAGGTTGAGAATTTGATTCTGTATTTTTTAAACTCCCTCAAAATCAGCAGCATTAGATTCAGTAAATGCTCGACCACCACATATAGAATGAAATAGAGATTATGACATAAGAAAAAGGACTCAAAAGGTTTTTCATTTTCATCATCCATCCTGAGCCATGACTGCACTCAGTTTGCTCTATCACTACATCTAGAACACACTTTTCCCTTTTTTTGTCTTTTTATTTCCATCTTTTAATCTTCAATCTTCTTGAGGATAGGGACAGTGTCTCACTCTTGTCTGTATCTGGCATAGCAAAGGATGTAGGAGATACCCAGTAGATGTATAGTCTATGTGTAGACACATCAAAGTTGCATCAAATGAGTTTGGGGGAATTAGGTTTGCTTGAGTTAAAATTACAAAGTTGACTCTAAATTGTCTTCTCTCTTAAGAGATCTGAACTTATTATCAAAATACTGCAACAATAATTTTTCATGTTCTTGCCATTGTACTCAAATTGATGTTTAATTACTGTTTTCTTTTGTTTTACTCTAGAACTGAACAATGCCACAAAAAGATTCTTTCCTAAAGAATATTTGAAAATAAAACAAAGCTTTCAGAAATCCAGCTCTGCAAAATGGCCCCTACCAAGCTGTAGAAAAGCATTCCATCTTTTCGGAGGTAAGGAAACTAATGCAAAAAAGTTTGATAACTTTGTCCAAGGTCTCTTTTTGGAAGCTATTTTTTCCTAACTAAAATGTTAGTGGAAACGTATTTCTGCATTGATCAGTCTTAAGTAAGGATTTTGCTAAGTATCTTCTGGCTGAAAGCTTCAATATGTGTATGAAGAAAATAGAAACTATATAATAAGAGCAAAATTTGAGAAAAACACAAGATTAAATTTACTTTGCATTGCTGTCAATAATGTTTAATATGTGGATAATGAAATTCATTGCAAAAGTAACAGATTTAACAAAAGCTATATTTGACCAAAGCACTAGTGTTCTTCATAAAGATTCTGAACAAATCATTATCACAGGTAATGTGATATTTAGTTTTATATTTAGTTTTATATTTTTAGTTTTATATTTTACAGCTGTCCCACAAATTTAAGACAAATAGAAAGTAGCAGTGCCTTGGGGCACCTGGATGGCTCAGTCGTTAAGCATCTGCCTTCGGCTCAGGTCATGATCCCAGGGTCCTGGGATCGAGCCCCACATCGGGCTCCCTGCTCTGCAGGAAGCCTGCTGCTCCCTCTATCACTCCCCCTGCTTGTGTTCCCTCTCTTGCTGTGTCTCACTTTGTCAAATAAATAAAATCTTAAAAAAAAAAAATCTGTAAGAAAATAGCAGTGCCTTGGTGTACTGAGTGTCTCAGGGATATTACTGTGGACTAGGAATACCAGTTTCTGGGTTCAGGTCTGACTAGCTCAATGACCTCAGAGGTGTCATAGGAACCCATTCTTCTGTTTCTGTTTTCTCATATGTAAAATTGCACATATGTACATATGTGCAATCTAATTAATAGTTGTAAGGATCCAATGAGCTAATGTGAAAGCACATTCTAAATTACAACTAATTGTACATACAGATATAAGGAATTATCAAAATACGGGCAAGGCAATCTCTAATACTACCTTTTTTACCTTTGAGAATTTGTTAGTGTAGAATGATAATCATACAATATGGACATAATATATAATTTCTCCTTTTATAAAACCATGGTCAGTGCATGAACTACTGTGCAGTTTTAGCATTTACCACTTGTAATATTATGGAGTCTGGAAAGCTTCAGATATGGGGAACTCTGATCTTTGGGGAGCCGGGACAGCAGGGTGGTGTGGAGCTTCTACATAAGACCTAAAAGATCAGTACCACAATGACATTAAACCAGGAGGAGATAGAAATGGGGCCTACATGGTTGAGGCAAAAATAAATTGATTTATGAAATCCCTGAGGTATAAAGAAAGTAGTTTAAGGACAAATATAACTTTATATAGTAGTTTGAATGAAGAAAATAGTTTAAAGATATTTTACAAACATGCACTATTTTATAAAGCAGTAACTGTAGAAACTCATCCACAGATTGGGTATAGATACATTTAAACATAATATGAAAGCAAATATAAGAAAAGCAATCTTACTTGAAAGATTTTGTGCCAAAGAAAACTTAAAATATGAATTGTATTCTTTAAAAGATTCCTTTGTATCCTACCTTCTACCACACACCCAATTTTAAAAAGAATGATGCACCTTTCTGATAACCCCACAATTTCCTTCACCTTTTTTTATCCCAAGATACTGAAGCTATCATTTAAACAGTTGCTTCTTTGTGATTTCTTATTTGTCCTCCCCATATGATTCCACAGAACTTAAGTTTTTACAAGTTTTTATGGAGGATGATCAAAGTAGCTTTATTACACAACCTAACTTAAATATATTATTATCAAAAAGAGAGAGAGAGAGAAAGGAAGGAAGGAGAGAGAGAGAAAAGAAAGAAGGAAGGAAGGAAAGAGAAGAACAAAGACATATATATTTCTCTTCTTTAGCTTATATGTATATATATATATATACATATAAGCTATATATAGTATATTACTGTCAAGGGTCTGCTGAGCTAAACAAGAGCTGAGCTGTGAGGCTCAGCCAAAACTGAGAGTTAAGCCTTTAATATCTTGGTGCAGTGGTATAAACAGAAGTCTAAAACTGGAGGAAATGCTGATGCCCCTCAATCCCATTCCATTTTCCCTTTTGTAACAGTGCACTAGTCCAGGGTCAGGTGGATCAGCACAGATGTGGGGGTCATGTCATTGAGGGATCCCCAAACAAAAGGCACTGGCAGTTTTATGAGCCCTAAAGGTGTGTGGGGACAGGGGGATGGCAAATGCCTAAGAGCAGGAAAGCCCTGAGTACTAATTCAGAATGGGGGAAAGTGTCTTCAAGGTTCCCTGTTCTATCCCTTTAAAGAGGTCTCAGTAGAGGCATCTGAAGAAGTCCTCTGGCCAAGTCTTCAGATAAAGAACCTAGGAATGCAGGTGCTGGGCCAAGGAATGTAAATATGTGAAAGAGCATCCCTGGGACTCAATGCGCAGGGAGATCTAGGGCAGTTTGTCCTGTGGGGCCTGCCATGTAAAGCATCTGTGATTGCGTATGGTCAGGCGGGAAAAACCATAATAGGATTTTAATCATAACCCAGACTCCTCAATTATCAGTATCCTGAATCACCTTCTCTCCTTTGTTTGCGTCCTGTTCCCCTGAATTTTGCATTATCATTTCTTTATACAAGTATACATATGTATATTTAATCTATGTTATTTAATTTTGCTTGTTTTTGAACTTCTCTAGTGCTAACAGTGTATATATTCTTCTACATTTGCTTTGTCACTCAGCATTAATGTTTCTTGGATCCATCCATTTCAGTAAGCATAGGCATATTCATTTATTTTTCCTGCTATACTATAGTCCACTATATGAATATGGCACAGTTTATCCATTCTCCTGTTGATGAATAATAGAGCCATCCAGTTTTTTATTATTACAACCGTGCTGCTATAAACATTCTTTTCATGTCTCCTGGAGCATAAGTGTTCCTCTAGAATAAATGCTGGTAGAAAACTACTGGGTAATAAGAAAAGCACATTTTTAACTTGATTACCTAAACCAAAGCATTTTCCTCAATATGATTTATCATCACCTTTGTCTATCATGTTTGATATTTTCAGTCCTTTAGATTTTTTCAGTCTGATAGGTATAAAATGGTATCTCACTGGGTTTTTAATTTCAATTTCTTAATCACTAATGGGGAATAAACATAGCTTTATATACATATTGACAATGGAGTTTCTTCATCTGTGAAATCCCTGTATAAATTTTGTCCATTTTCCTATTGATTACATTTTTCTTATTGATGTTTGAGAGTTTCAAAATATTTTCTGGTGATTCCTTTTTCCCTTAATTGTATGAATAGCAGCTACCATCCCCCAGTTGTGGTTTGTTTTTTGTTTTTATGGTATCTTCTGATAAATTGTGGTTTTGCATTTGTTTCACCATCTTTCTGGTCTGTATTATCTGTCTTATGAAATTCTCCTCTATCCCCAATGTCATTAAGATATCTTCCTGTGTATTTTTCAAATTGTCTAAAGGTATTTGGAATTGATTCATGTTGTTTTCTGAGTTTTATGAGGGTTTTTTGTTTGTTTGTTTTGCTATATTTTAGGTAGGGATCCAATTACTTTGGGCTTTCTTCCTATTTAGCTTTTTTCAGTCACCATTTATTGAAAATAATTCGTCATTTTCACACCAATGCACACTAGTCTGTCATATTTTATATTTCCATGTATGTGGGCCTATTTCTGAGGTCTTTATTGGGTTCTTCTGTTTGTCTAATTCTTTGCCAAAACCATACTTTTTTTATTAAGTATAATTGAAATACAATGTTATATTAGTTGCAGGTATACAGCATATTGATTTGACAGTTCTGCTCTAACCAAGAGTGTTCTTGATTGTAGGTTTTTTTTCCTTCAGCACTTTAAATATATCATGCCACTCTCTTCTGGCTTGCAATGTTTCTGCTAAAAAATCAGATGTTAGCCTTATGGGGTTTCCCTTGTATGTAACTGTTTCCTCTTACTGCCCTTTTTTTTTTTTTTTTGAGATTTATTTATTTATTTGAGGGAGAGAGAGAGAAAGCATGAGTGGGGGGAGGGGCAGAGGGAGAGAATCTTCAAGCAGTCTCCCTACTGAGCACAGAACCAGACAGGGGCTCAATTCCACAACCCATGAGATCATGATCTGAGCCGAAACCAAGAGTTGGATGTTTAATCGACTGAGCCACTCAGGCACACCTCTCATATTGCTTTTAAAATTCTCTCTTTATCATTACTTTTTGTCATTTTTATTACTAATGTGTCTTGGTATAGACCTTATGGGTTCATCTTGTTAGGGACTCTCTGTGATTTCTAGACCAGGATATTGGTCTAGAATATCCCAAGAATTACCCCAAGAATCCCAAGAAAAAAAAATTTTTTCTTCTTTAGATGAGTTTTATAACCCTGTTTCTCTCTCTCTCCTCCTTCTGGGATCCCTATAATGCAAATGTTATTACTCTTGATAATGCCACAGTTTCCTTAACCTGTTCTCATTTTTTTATTAATCTTTTTTCTTTCTGCTGTTCATCTTCATTGCTTTCTAGTACCTGTCTTCCAGATTGCTGATCCATTCTTCTGCATCTTCTAATCTGCTCTTGATGCCCTCTAGTTTGCATTTTATTTCAGTTATTGAGTTCTTCAGCTTTAACTGTCTTTTTAAAATTTCCTGTCTCTTTGTAGATGTTCTCCCTGATTTCATCCACTTGTTTCTCAGGTCCAATGAGTATCGTTATGACCATTATTTTTTTTTATTATTAAGTGTTTTAATTCCATTGTAGTTAACATACAGTGTCTTATTAGTTTCAGGTACACAATATAGTGATTCAACAATTCTGTATGTCACCCAGTGCTCATCTCGACAAGTGCCCTTCTTTATCCCCATCACCTATTTCACACATCACCCCACCCACCTCTCTCTGGTAACCATCAGTTTGTTCTCTGTAGTTAAGAGTGTGTATCTTGGTTTGTCTCTCTCTTTTTCTTTTTCCTTTGCTCATTTCCTACATTCCACATATGAGTGAAATTATATGGTAGT